CATCAACATCTCAGCACCATTACAAGTCGCCTGAGGAAGTCAAAGCCTGAATAGAAGAGTGTGAAACCCAAACCAGAGGAACTTTAAATCTAAGAGCTACGGGGCGACCAAAAGGCACGGCTTGGAATCTCAGGTCAGGGTTAAAAAGACTGAGATCCTCAGGACAAGAATGTATCTGGAAAAGGAATCCGGGTATTAGATGTGAGACTCTCTTTCGAGAGACACTTTTAAAGCAGGAATTCCTCTTTTAAAGAAGTCAGCTGTTGTTCCAGGCGACACGATCATTTCATCGATCCTTTTTTTAGGTTGCTCTAGTGAAGTGGACTTTGTGGGTATTTTTAACATGGCTGACAGTGGACTGAGACTGGGATGTATTTGTGGTTGTGTAAATTAATGGATGCATGTGCTGCTAGAGGAATGAGCTGCATTCCTCAGGCTCACATGTGAGCGAGAAACATAAACATTTCTTCAACCATGAATGCAAGAGAAGATGACCAGGCACAATAACTGTGTGACTAAACAATTTCTATATATCGAAATATGTCAGAAATAGTGTTTATTTGTAGCAATGCTTTCAATTCTTTCCAATTCATCCTCACCATACATTGTCAACATTCATCGTCGTACCATGACCTGCACTAAATGTACAGTACATAGCTGAATGCTGACTTGCAGAAATATCCATTGTGGGAACTTAATAACAACTTTCCCACTATATGTACACTAATCACTTTCTAAAAAGACTCAAAAGGATAATATATGTTTACTTATTGCATTAAACTAAAGTAATTTTGCACTATGCACTACTAACCCCCAAATCTAAACCTCTTCACAACAATTTAATAAACAAATACAAATTGTATACATTTATATATATATACCAATACCGCATTCGTACAGCCTCCTCATCTTTGTGTATTACTCCGCCCACATGGAGTGACAGGAGATCAATAAACTCACTACAGTTTGACAAAAATTGCAGCTGTTGGACAACATAATGTACTTTTAAGGCTTTTTAAATCAAGAATGTAGTTGTTTAGATTGCAACTATGCAGTTCATTTATAAGGATAGTGCCTATTTTAAATATTTATCATTTCGATTCAGCACGTTGGCGGCCATCAGCCTGTCATACTGAGCAAAGCAAAGACTGTTGACGCTCCACCACAACATGGCAACAGAGACCACATAATTAGCTCTTAGAGACAAAAAAAAACTCAAACTACAGCTGATCAAGTCATTACAAAAGCAGGTATTGGATATTCTAAGTCAATCTCTTTTGTGTTTTGTAGTGCTGTATTTATACCATAGTAATCTGTTAGTGTTTGTTTTACTTTGGCTATTTCACAGTTAATTAATGTGATACCCTGATTGCAACAGAGAAATACTGGTATGTCATATGATGATATTTCTCTAGACTGATGTCATTTCATGCCGCTCGGCCTTATCATCTTAAAATGTGAGCAAAATCCCATTTTGTCATCAATTTAGACATTAGACAATAGAACTGATCAAATACTAGCTCTAAAGTGATGTTAGTGAATAAGCAATGGTTTCTGCTGTTCTGATCATTAGCTGCACATGTGAATGAATGGCGGAAGAAAGTAGTTTCTCAAACAAAAGGATTTTGAGACTCTCCGTGTTTGATTTTCTTGTTTATACATGTTAATGCTATCAAACTGTACAAATGCAACATCACACTTGTAGCAGAGCGATATAGCTGTATCGTCACTGGTGGGACTCCCACTAGTGCCATATCGCACTGCTACTCATGTGATATTGCTCATTTATATATATATTTATATATTTAACTTAACTAGGTTAACTAGTGTGACTAGGCGAGTTAGGGTAATTAGGCAAGTTATTCTATAACGATGGTTTGTTCTGTAGACAATCGAGAAAATAAATAACTTAAAAGGGCTAATAATTTTGTCCCTAAAATGGTGTTTAAAAAAATTCAACCTGCTTTTATTCTTGCTGGAATAAAGCAAACAAGACTTTTTCCAGAAGAAAAAATATTATCAGACATACTGTGAAAACTCCCTTGCTTTTTAAACATAATTTTGAAAATATTAAAAAAAGAAGAAAAAAACTGAAGATACTGAAAATTTATATGTGTATGAACCAAAGTTGGCAATTATAAATCTTCAGCTGAAATGTTAACTAAAAAAAAGTACTTTCAGCTAAAATAACTAAACTGAAACCATAATGTCACAATTTTCTCACAGAGACAGATAACTGAATAAATTAAAAAAAAACTTGCACTTTAAAACCATTATCATGTACATTAACAACAAAAACACGTAAAAAGCTTTCCATATTTGTTGAAAACTGCTGTGCAAGCATATCTTAAGATACCACAAACCTGGTTAGATAAAACACCATATACACATTTTCTAAAAGAACACAGGGTTTACTTCACTTTAAAGAACCAATGAGTCTATCACAGGTGGGAAAGCTGAGCAGAACAGCAATTGCATGCTTCATAAATCTCTCCACGGGAGGACGAACCCAATACCCAGACTAAGAACAAGCAAACTTAGTCATTAGAATCAATGCGCATGGACAGGTAAAGCTCCGGCAGGCTGATCTGAATGACACACTCTCAGTCTTCAATGGTTTAGTGACTCAGCGGCTGGCAGAGGAAGGATGAAGGCTTGTCTGAGAGAGAACATGGCCTGAAGGGGAAGCCAGGGATTTGGCAATATCATTACGCCTTGTCCCAAGCTTGGATTCAGATGGGAATGTTAGTTTAACCCCAATTTACAAATGGCAAAGAATCTGTAGGTCAAAGCTTGGAAAAATCCATCCTCCTTATCAGACATGCTGTTTTAATAATCCAAAAACCATTCGTTTAACTCATGTTTTCAGTGTCCCAGATTAATTAAAGCCACACTGAATGGGAACTTCCTCCCGACGGCGGCCCGGGTCTATAAATAATCATGGAATGTTTGCGTTGTTACTTTTAAGCCTCGTCATTCCGGTTGGATCCACACACGTGGGTCCAAGCTCTTAATCTTAAATGCTTCTCAGACCCCTTCTGTCCTCCTCCACCCCAGACAGATGTTAAATTACTCTTCCCATTTAGACCCACTGTTGTCCTTCAATGCTCTTCTGTGAAAGCCCATTTTTACATGAGACTTCCAATCTTAATGCAACTCAGTTTGACAAAACACAAGGGTTGTGTGCTAAACAGCTGCCTATTTAATGAAGTAAAAATAAGCATTCTTTAATTAGACTCCCGAAAACCATTAGACCACCAAAGTTAGGAGAGAACAACACATGCAGCGCTTAAAGCAACTGGATAAACTGGATTACTTCTCACAGGGTCCTTAATAATAGTTTTAAAAAGCGTGTCAACGTCTACTCTGCCGTGGTCTGAAACACTGGAAGGGGTTTTATGAGGCCATCTGAAAGCTATACATACGTTTCTGAGCTTTTATTATGAGCAGGTTTGTTCTGACACAGCGACTCAACAGCAAAGCAGAGAGTGGGAGGCATGAAACACATCCTGGGGGTCATCACTGAGTCATTTATGCTAGTTTTACTGTGGATCAAGATGGTATTTTGTTCACCGCTGTTCTAGTAATCTTCAAAGGCTGTGATTTGGTGTTACATAACCTTTGAACTTGAGGATTGTTGCAGGGACTCCCCCATTTTTTCTCACCTGGAGAGGCAGAGGGTCCTGACAGATTTAACAACTATGAATGAACCACATCAAGTACCATTTAGAATTTATAGGCCATGTTTTATGGCTAAATATACCTGATTCAGCAAAACAGAAAGAATGAATTATTTTTAAAAAATTAAAGTCTCTAAACAGATAAAATATTACACTAAACACACACACGTAACACTATTTTGATGACCTCATCAAATTAAACAAAGTGCCTACTTTAATGTTTCAAAATACTTTTGTGAAAATAAACCATCAAAGCATGATTAAAATAATGTTTCATTGTGTCTTCATTTGCAGTAAAAATTCAAAACTTAAATTAACAGAGAAACTATATGTAACATTATATTGAAACGTCTATTTACAGTATATTTTTACAAAACAACTAACCACAGAGCTATGGGATCGGAAAAGTATCAATCTGTAAACATTTTTTTTATACATTTTAAATGAAGAAACTAAACATATATTATGGATTAGACCAAATAAGTCAGCAGAATTTACAGTATACAACATACCTTGTAGGATATCTCTAAATTAAACAACAAAACCCAAATAAAATAATGCTTATAAAAAAGGATAAAAGTAGACTCACTATAGAACAAACATGATTGATTTCATTTTATTTAACATTTTTTCATTTGGGAAATCAATTATAATTGGTTGACAACATTGACAGAGACAGCTTTGAGTATTTTTACTGTACTGTAAAACACAAGCCTACACAACAAACTTAGAAAAGGTTTCGCTATTTAGGTGTAAACTTTTTTTTCATGGCAAGGTTGCCATTTGAATGACTCCATAACATACATCTTTGTAAAAATTAAACATGTGTCTCCTGACCTTCCTATTTTATTATATAAAAGAACAAGTGAGTCTACAAAATTGTATTATATTTTAAATGATTAAAATCTTGCTGAACTAATACATTTCTGGTTTGAAAGATAGTGGCAAAATATAATACATTTAAAAATGACAATTAATATTTTGGCACTTAACTGTGGTCTAAACAAGAGTCTTTTAATGTTTCATCACGTGACTCTTTTTCAAAACACTTTTTTATTTATACATAAACTACTGCTGAATAAAACGTTAGTGAGTGTATACACACACTCATGCCTGTATTATGTGTTTGAGTACGCATAAACAGCACTGGCATATTATTTTGACACTTGTCTGGCTTGGATACTCAGTTAAAGACACAAAAAACGACATTAAGTGATTAAAACTTTAAGCAAGCACTGCAGCATACTTTTAAAAACAGCGCCCTGTCAAATGAAACCGGGAGAGATGTTTCTAGTGAAGTGTCAGTAAGTTTTCTCCTACCTCAACAAAGAAGTTATCCATCTGTAATGCGGTCCAGCCCGGTGTTTGGTGACCAGGGTACCACGGACTCTGAGTCCCGTAAAGATGCTCAGCACTCACGCGCTTAACATACAGCTGAAGTTCCCATCGCACCGTCCGGACAGTAATTCCTCTGATAAACCTTCAAGTTTTCTTTAAACACGGTTGAGAGAGTGATTCAAATACCACTATAACGCATGTGTGTGTCTGTGGTGTGTGTCAGGAGAAGCTCGTGTTTATCCCGGAGGCGCTCCTGCTGCTCTCTCGCTCGTGCGCTTCTGTATCTTTGTGTGGAGAAAACACTGAGGCCACCGGCTCATTTGGGTATGACTGGGGAATGGGCGGGGCTTCACTGCGATACTCCGCCTACAAGACACACCCGTGAGCGGAACAGCGGCATAATAAGAAACTCTTCACACACACTGAATGAATAGTATAGCCCAAAGCTATTTTTTTTTTACCTCGTATATATTTTAGAATGCTGCAATTGTGAAAGACTAATAGAGTACAATGTTGCTATAAAAATATTTTACTGTGATGCAGTTATTGTTTTATTGATGTAATATTAATAACCTCGTCATCTTTGTTCTACATTTATCATTTGTGATTCATGGTTGCTAGGTTTAGGCTATGTTAGGGTTTATTGCATATATTTTTAATTTGAAGATAATTTGTTTACACCTTCAAATCACATTATCATTGATAGCTGTTTAAAAAAGTAACTTTTAAAACTATAGTTACATTTTCAACATCAAAAGTTGTTATTATTAGTTGTTTCATTGTAATGTACAATTCACACCATTAACAACAAAAAGCTCAATAAACAGCTGTTAGTTAATTAATTGGGTGGGATTAGGGATGTAGAATCACACTTTATAAGTACTAACAAACAGTTAATATGGTAATCATTTGCAGGCATGAGGCCAGAGGTTAATTGTAAGAACTAGTACTTAAACTAATATTACTAGTATTACTGATTATTTTTAACCTACTGTACAGTTGTTCATCTTAGATGCCTAAATTCTCAAAATACATTTGTATTATGCTTTTGTGAATGTGATTTTGCCTGACACCCATCCAATGAATTTGGGGTTTTCTGAGTGTTCCATAAGAAGAGAGAAAAATGATCCAGGGAATTCTATTTTAGGAAAAATCTGGAATGCCTTTGACCCACTTACCATCAGGATTACCACTGTCCTCTAAGGAAAGTCACCCAAATTCAAACTTCAGTGCATGCTTGCATATCAGTTATCACCTCTAAATTCAAATCTGTGTGTGTGTATGAAAACAACAACATCAATCAGCATTTGAGATCTAATTGATATAAAATATATAAATATAATATAATATAATATAAAATTTTATCTCAAAAAAAGGAGTCCACGCCCTCCATATTAGCGAGAGCTCATCTAAGCGTGTTTGACCTTTACAATGGGGTTAATTATATTCATGTCGGCTCCTCTAAATCTTTGTTAGGAGCTGCTCTGGAGTCAAAGACTGAGTGAGTGTGTCTGTATGCGTGTGTACAGCTGCTCTTGCTGTAGGCGAACTGCTGTTTGACCTCTCTTTCAGCTTAGATTTCTGTCCGCCTGGGATGAAAGGACAGAGAAAGATGCTAGGTTTAAATAATGATAATATGAAAATATAGTGAATGCAATATAATGTGTAAATTACTTTTAGACGTTTGCTCTGGAACTTGAGACATGGCTTCAAATCTTTACAAAAGATTTGGACGAAATGAAATGAGTATGAAAGCTTGTTTCCACCACTGGATAAAGAAATGTTTTGCACAATTCAGACTTTTCTTATATTTGTGAGCTTATAGTTTTATCACAAGCTTTACTTATAATAATTATAAAGTACACAGTTAAGAAGATTAAGGCATAGTTTGAGAAAAACATGTTGCAGTTCTGTCATTTTTAGCAGATCTGTCAAATTTCTCAGAAAGTTGACTAAGTTTAAATCTAATAATTTTAAAGTTTTGATTTCAGAATTGGTGGTTCATTCCACTGGGGCAACCCCAGATTAATAAAGGGACTAAGCCGAAAAGAAAATGAATGACTTCAGATTTGTCCATATTTACGTGTCATACTCTTTGAGTTACATTTCACAAATCTTTTTTTTGAAAACTATGACTATTTCTTGCTGTTGTGACTTTCTTCACAGAATTGCAAGCTTGTGTCAGCTTGAAAAACTTTTTTCTTTTTTTTAATTGTGACCTTATTTTTGCTGGCATGAGTTTAAATCTGACAAATCAAATATTTCTTCACAATTGAAAGTTTAAATCTCAGAATTTGATATTTTTGTTTCCTCTTATTCTAAATTAGCATCATAATTCTGATTGAGATATTAACTCAAAATTGCACTGAGGAGTGGAGTAAAAATTCCAAACTCTAAAATATAAAATCAGGTATTCGATAGGAAAAATAAGTCTATTTAAAACAAAAATGAAGACCAATGAGATTAAAAAAGTCACAATTATCTTTATTTCATTTTTCATTATGCTGTGGTTGAAATGGGCTTCCAAACCAGACAAGTGTACTTTGAAGTTCAGATTTTAAAAATCGTGTCTCCTTCAAAATGTGAGTCCTATAAACTTTTTTAAGATTTAAGATTAGATTAGTCGAGAATCAATAGAAATGGAATCAAGTGACTCTTTTGGGGATAAAATAATGTTCTCTCCATTCTCGCTATTCCTCTGTTCCATAGCTTTATATTCAAAGCACTCTGTCATAAGAGCACTCTGTCCGGCTGGAGAGGACATTAATCTCTAGTTAAGTGGCTTGTGAAAGATGTAGAAGCCTAAAAGAGGCAGTTCAAGAGGCATTGCTCATTTGTTGATACATTTGTGTGTTTTAAAAGTTTATTGAATATCCAGTATTTATATAGTAAGCCTAATTGCAAACTATACTGATAACCAGTACTTGCAAAAACTTGTGTAAACCTAATGGTAAATGATCTTTTCTCAATCATGAGCTGCTTAAATAACACAGTTGAGAACCAAATCCTGCTAATTACTTGAGCTTGTAATCAACCTCATTAGGCATTATGCCTGGCTTTATCCACACAGTATTCTTTATGGATTTCAAAAAATCCATTTATGCAAAAAAAAAGTTCTTTAAACAGCTTTCAACTTTATGTTTGCTTAAAATGAAAAGGGCATCATGCGCCAGTGGCCATGTTTTGATTTTGTTATGGCAAAAAGTCAAGATAATAAATACTTTTGTGTTGTTTTAACTTATTTTAATAAGTTAATCAGGTTTTACCTAATTTTTTTCAGCTATACAAAGTTTAACTTTAGTTAATTTGATCGTTAGTTTGAAGTTGAGATTAATAGCTCACTTGATTCAACTAAAAAAGGAAAAACATTTTACACAACAAACATAGACATGGACAAACTAGCAGACTGATCACATTGTAAAGCATCTGAAATGTATTGGTCATTCTTAAATGCCAAAATTGTTCTTCAAAGTGGTTCAATATTATTGTGTCCATAACTAGTATAACTAGTATAACTTCATTGTATTTTGTCTTCTGAGGCACAAGTAATGTATTCAAATGTACCTCTATATACATTTCTGGAGACTGTCAAAGATGTCCCAGGAGGTACGTTTTTTTTTTTTTTTTTTTTTTTTTGCAGTTTTTGTTTTCGTGAATTCACCAGAGGCAGGGCCAGATTAACCAATGGGCATTATACGCACATGCCCAGGGGCCCGTGTGCACTTGGGGCCCCTGTGAGGGGAGAAAAAAATGCGATTTTGGAGTGTCTATTTAGGCTAAGTGCAAATAGCGCACCTCCTGTGAATAAACTAGTTAAGCAATTCACGCTCATCATCGTTTGATTTACAGCAAAAACATAACTAAAGAGCGCAACAAGCAGTAGCGTGAGTGGCGTAGCTCGTAAAGCGCATGGCAACATCATTTCACAATTGATCATAAACCCAGTTCAAATCCAGTGTCTGATGAACTCATTCTTCTTTTCCCCCACGACATATCATACAAGACAGGTAGTAAGCATTTATAAGTGTGTGTATTATAAAGGACTCAGATTTATAGAGCTGGATTGGAAAGATGTCCAAATCTTATGCATTAAAAGTTTGTAGAAGTTATACATTAAAAATACCTTTAAATATAAATTTTTAGTACTGCATCAGTGAACTTAAACAAGTCTTTTAAAATCCATTAATTTTCACTAGTTGTAATAATATTTTTTTCAAAGTGTGCTTTAAATGCTTTAAAAATAAGTTAAATCTTATTAGACTAGAAATATATGTACTGTATTTCATTTATTATTATTTTTTAAATCTGTGCAATACATTATAGATTAATTTTATTTAAAAAATATTATATTAACTTATTTTCTAATTCAACTATAGGGGTGCAAGCTAGGTAGGGGGCCTACAGGACATTGCGCCCAGGGGCCTCTGAATTCTTATTCCGGGCCTGACCAGAGGCCACTTTGTATACTTTTTGAGAATTTCTCTGACGAGCGCCATTTGCACCTGCTGTTCTCTCATCAATCCACTAGAGGCCGCTGTCAACTGACTGTTTGACTGACTGAATGACTGACTGACCAGCTGACCAACCTATAGTATTTTAAAAAGCACAGATTGACCCACCTGCCCACTTCCCTACACCCAACTGAAAAAAGAAAAAAAAAATCAGAAAAAGAAAAGCCCTCGTCTGATTTTTACCAAGTAAATAACAGGTTGAGAATGTTTCTCAACCTGTTATTTACTTGTTTATTTTTTATTTTTTTTGTCTTACCCGCTTTTTGGAACCATTCTTTGCCAGACTTTGCACAGATCTCCTCTCCGTGTCTCAAGTCTACCAACGTATAAGGTAAGCTAACTGGACAAACTGGTAACAGCCAGAAAGCCGTCCATATGGAGGAAAGCGGACAGCTGGTAAAAAAACGGAACGGCGTCATACCGCCTCCTGGAGTTCATTTAAAAAATGAAATGCAGCCATACGTACCTTTAACTACATAATTCATGATCTCCAGAAATGTATTTAAGGCTTTCAGAATGAGCTGGTGTTGCCACGTATTACATAATAAAGGTATTACATAATAAAAATTTTGTCGATTTTTTTTTTAGATAACTGGGCGTTATTTTATCAGGAAGTGACCTTTTTTTTTGACTCATTGAACTTTTAATTTTTTGCAAATGTTTTATGTAATATTCCTGTTTATAATGTAAGTAACATCTTTAGAAGGAAACAGCTGATGACAGACTTCAGCAAACAGTTCTCTGTTTAACATGGCCCAATCTCACAAGGAAACAGTTTATTTAAATATTGTCAGTGGCTACTT